TATAAATTAAGAAGAAAAAGGGACGTTTGCGGTGCCGGAGCATGGGACATGGCCGCTGCCCGTGGCTGGGCTCAGTGGGGCAGAGGCTTTTCGCAGACGTAGTAGCACTCGTAGGTGCAATAAACGTCATTCCACCTCCCGGAGATCCAGACGTGGGCACAATCTTCGTTGTTGCCGCTGTTGTTGGGTTCTCCCTCCTTCCAGAATCTGGGCAGGGAAGGATCGGAGTGAGAGGGCAGCCGGGGTGGGCAGCTGAGGGGGGCTGGGGCTGGAAGAAGGGCAGGAACTGGCTAAATTGATGGATTTTGGGTAGGTGTAGGCGCTGATTCCTGCTCTGTCAGAGCTCGGGTGAGCGCCCGTCCCGGGACAGGGGGAAGGATCCCGATCTTCCGGCTGACACCGGGCTGTGCGGGCAGGGAAGCTGCTGCAGTTGTGGGGTGACGGGCACAAAACCCTGAGACAGGCCAGCACTCACGTGAAGGTGGTTTTATAATCGGTCCCGTCGATCCATTCCCATTCCCCTTCCGAATTCCCATCCGTGAGCCCGATCCAGAAACGCTCATTCCTTGTCCTGAACATGACAAAATTCTGCAGCGGGGAGAGGGATCAGGAGGGAAAAGCACCAGGAAACGGCTCCTCGCTCCACGTTTGCACCGTGGAGGAGCCGGAGAGGTACAGCTCAGCGCTTGGCTGTTGGTTTACAACGTGGAGGAGCAGGATAGGTGCCGGGGCTGTATCCGAGCATCCCGCACAAGCACGCGGGAAGCCCTGGATGCAGGCAGAGCAGGTCCTGCCTGCTCTCTGCTGGCTGATGCAAAGGATAACAGCACCAGCCCTCAGCTGCCCAGTGAAGCTGGGGGGAGCAGGATGGGAGCCAGGCAGGTACTGGGGGGCTCGGGAGGAGGCCGGAGCTTCCGGAAGGATTTGGGCAAGGCTGGACTTCCCTGCCTCGAGCTGGGGTCTTTACCTGCTTGGCGTAGCTGTTAATAATCACCAACTGCGAGCGCATCTCTTCGCACTGAGCCTTCGCCTTGTACCAGCTCGTTCGGGTTAGGGAGAAGTAGTAACATTTTCCGTCAAAGTATTCCCATTCCCGGGATCTGGGTCCGCAGGGAAACACTGGGGAAAGAAGGAGGAGGGGGAAGTCAGGGGGATTGAGGGTGGTCCAGCTGGTCCTTGCTGGGCTCATCCCCATGAGAGGGTGAGATGGTGCCAAACTGGTACAGACACAACGGCGCAGCCCCCACGTTGCTGTGTCCTGGAGTGCCATGAAGGTGGCAACCGGCTCCCGAAAAAGTCTCCACCCCATGGAAAAATTGGGCTTTTTTGAAAAATACGGAAGTGTTTGCGGTTGGCAGAGCAGCAAACCCAGAAGGGGATGCCCTGCGCCGCCTTAGCGGAGCGAGCCAGGGCGGGAACGCTTCGGGGATGATTTAGGGAAGCTTCAGAGGGGAAGAAAAGGACTTACACAGAGAATCCCTGTCCGAAAGGTTCTGTTTCTGTTCCGGGTGCACCTCGTTGAGTTTCGAGGAAAGGGCTGAAACTATGAGGGAGAGAGACGGAGAGACGCCGCATTACCCGCCGTGTTGCCACCCGTGGTGCCTGCAAGCTCCTCACCCCGGCAAGGCTGAGGATATCTTATACTCTGGTGTGTTTATTCTGCATTTTCCCAGCAGCCTACAGGGCAAAGAATTCCCAGGAAACTTCAAATACTGGTTTATAGCTCGGATCAGCCAATATTTTATTTATTTATATGTATTAGTTGATGCATGGCCGGCAGCGTGGACGGCAGCGGTCACTACGTGGGAGCTCCTCTGGTCACTCTGTCCTGTGGAATTAGAACACGCAGGAGCGTACACGCAGACCTCGTGTATCCCTTGGTCCCACCTGCTTAATTAATTAGTTATAAATTAAAGATATCCCAGTACCTTTGGAGAACGACACGGGGAACAGGGTGACGATCAGCAAGAAGCAGAGGCCCAGTAGCAAGTAAACGATAAAAAAGGATCTCAGGTTCTGCTGGAAGAAGTTTCTCTCTTTAAAACAAAACAAGAGAGAGATGAAAATATTCCCCTCGGATGACCGGAGGGTTGGTTTTTTCATGGTCTCTTCTGGTTCCATTTAAAGAAGGGTTAATAAATAACCTGGAATAGTTAACAATTTGCTACAGAAGCCAGAGTTTTTGAGGATAACTCCTTTTTCAGACCAACGTGGGGGGCTGGAGGCACCCCAAATCTCCCGGTTGTCACACGGGGTGCTGTGTTAGCTCCGGAGTGGCCTGGCTAAAGGACAAGGCAGGTGACCTCCGGTACCCCGTAAGGAAAATGCAGAGGAATTATAAGGTTGCACGGTGTATTTTGGGCTGTGCCGTGTTTCTGATCCCGCCCGGCCGCCTCGTGACCCTTTCCAGAAGGGAGACGGTTCCCCAGGTGACAGTCCTGTCTGGAGGGCTCTTTGCTGGCATCAGCTGCCCTTCTTGGAGGGGTTGAACCTTGGCAACACCCTTGCTTTCCGAGGATCCACCTTGGGAGGTGTGCAAGGATGCTGGGCTACTCCGTTTGGGCAGCTCCACTTGGGAAAGCTCCAGGAAGAGCCTAATTTTGCTCCGGTCCAGGACACTTCCAAGGCTGAACCCTCTCAAGGTGTCAGTTGGGCACCACCAGCTTCACACCACCATCAGCCCAGTGACAGCCCAACCCTACAGCCAAATCCCTTTCGTCTTCCATCTGAGCCCCAGCCCCAGGGACAAGGGATTCCCCATCCCAACCAATTAACCTCATTAGAGCTGATTAGCCAAGCTGCTTAAGCCGAGGAGGAAGGACACGGACCTTCCTCTCCCTCAGGAATCGGTGGAGAAAGGCCAAGCTGCAAGACGCAGTCTCGCTACCCTCTCGAGGTGGGGGGTTGAGGAGCCGGCGTGGCCAAAATTTACCTTGAAAAACGCGCAGGTCGTCGTGAAGATGTTCCTCATCCATCCTGGGAAGCTGGGCTGAACCTTAGGAATAAGTAAGGAGAAGCTTTTTCCCGCCCCCCCCACCCCCCCACCAGCGGATTTGTGGAATAGAGGAGTTGCAATACCAGGGATGTTCACCCAAAAGTTATAATTTAACCAGCGGCTTTTCACGCCGTGTCCTATTGGTTTGTCCCCCCAAAAAAGCAGCTGGGATTGGATTGGGTATTCCAGCTCTCCGGAAAGTTTTCTTCCCTTTTCATTTGTAATTCTCTCCATCCCTTTGGAGTTCAAAAAAAAATAGAGGGAAATTCTCAGGTTTCTGAAGGTCTTTTCCGAGTGTGTGAATGAACTTTGGAAGCCAGCGGGTCTGGAGAAGAGGAAACGGTTTGGAAACCGTTCCAAAAAGGAAAGAGGAAAAGGAAAACTGAAGGCACAAGCAGTGGCCAGGCAGATGACAGGACAAGGATGATGGGTTTATACGGGAAGAGGGAGATGGAGATGGGACAGCAGGAAGGAATTCTTCCTGCAGAGGGTGGGAGCACTGGGACAGGTTCCCAGAGAAGCTGTGGATGCCCCATCCCTGGGAGTGTCCAAGGCCAGGCTGGATGAGGCTGGGAGCACCCTGGGCTGTGGAAGGTGTCCCTGCCCGTGGGATTTAAGGTCCCTTCCCACCCAAATCATTCCATGATTCTATGCGCTCACCCAGGAAAACAAAACGGATCCAGGCCAGATAAAGCACCCGTACGGATGTGCCGTGTAAATCTGAGTGATGGAGGCCCAGGAGCAGCTTGATTAAGGGCTGCTCCCACCGGGAATGGATTTTAGGGCCCGTCTGTTTTCTTTGCCCTTCGGTGGCTGCGCGCTTCCGCTCCTCTCGGCCCCGGCAGGACTCTGGGAGCTGCTCCCTGCCCGGGCTGACGCTCTGGCAGCCTTTTAGTCTGTATTTTTCGGCTGTGAGGTGGGGTGGGGGGGAAGAACCCTTCAAGTTAAAGGTTGGCAAAGGATGAAATGGAGATAAACAGAGTAGAGACCCACCAAAATTTGGGAATGTGAAGCAATAAGGGGCTAGAACAGCCTCCAAAAGCTCCAGTAGATGTGTGAGGGGGGTTAGCTGCTGTGTTACCGCGGCAGAAACGGGATTGATGAGTTAAAAACCCCCCTTCAACCCTTTATTCCTGTAATTTTCCCGTGGTCATCCGACATTGACAGTTCCCCCCCTGCTTCCGAACCCTTGGGCTGCGCCTTGACTGGCTGACGGATTTTTACTGGGTTTAATTTCCCCTTTTGCTGCTTCACCTTCCCTCTCCGAGCCCAGAGAGTGCTGGGACAGAACGTGCTTCAAGTTTTAATAACGCTAATTACTCCCACGTAACCCTCCCGGCCTGCGATGAACGCGCAGCCGTAGTTATTAAGCCGGCAGCCTTGGGATGCTTTCCAAAGCGGAGCTGGGGGCACCTAACCGTTGTTTATTTGCCCCAAAGCTACACCGAGATCGTGTGTAGGAACAGAAAGGAGGCCAGGGCGCAAAGCCCTCGTTAACGAGACGCAGAGCAAC